CATAGTATAGTTAATTTTGCCTACAAAAACATCCCATCACCACCGAATAACAAATATATCAATGACATAGCACAAAAAATTTTTTGGTGAAAATGAGTAAAGGTATTGAATAAATGTATAAAACAATGTGCTTTCTTGGACAATTACAATAACTTTTAAATTAAATGGCGAAAAAACATTTGAAATGAAGTTCCTGAAAATTTCTCAAAGTTGCACCAAACTCTTTTGTATGCTAAATCATCAATATGCTTATATATTTAAACATTAAATAAATTAAATAGCGCAATACATTCTTGTTACATTAGTTGATTTTACTTTTTTTTAATTAAATTTCCATTTTTTTTTTTTAATGAAATCGATGAAATTTTTATTTCCTAAAATTACGATTATATATATTTGTAATTTTATAGTTATTTATCGGTCATAAGCTCATCCTATGATATATATATATATTATAGCCCAGTTGTAGGTCTCAAAAATATTACCCCAATAAAATTGGGAAATTTCTAAAATTTATATTAATTAAGTTATATAAGTCAATTAAAATATGACACGGTACCGTGTTTTCCTCAGCCGCACATCACGTTATCAAGCTATATGAAAGTGTATCGGGATCTGAATTATTAGTGCACGGTGGCCTAGTGGTAAGGTTTGTCTGTACAACGCCTTGGGTCGCGGGTTCTAATCCCGTACCGTGCCTCTTTTTTTCACATGATTTCCGGTACACTTTCTATAACCGGCCGTCAATCCCCGGCGGCCGTGTTAAATAATAGTTAAATGAAATAAAATTATAATTAACTCACCATTTTTTAATATTATAGATACCACAATATAATATTATATCAGAGACTTATATAGAATATATTTTAAAGGGGCAACTTTTTTTTACTTTGGTAAGCATGCTAGAGAAAATTTTTTTTTCTACAAACAAAATGGAAGACCTAAAAAATAATGATAACGTGATAGTATAAGAAGGGTAATTGTCCTTCCTCCCATTAATAAGTCTCTGTATTACGTAATACTATATGCATGCGAATATTTATGAATAACCAAGTATCCATAATAACAAATCTGTAAATTATTTTTTAAGAGATACATAGGATGTTAATTTTATGTTTAAAATTATTTGGATGTAAAATGGTTATTGAAGATATTCACTGAATACCCATTAGATAAATGGTGTTGTGTTGGTAGTTTTAATTAAATATTTATTAAATTAAAGTTTTACATAAAAGTAATCAACATTTCTGTTAAAATAAAATTATCAAATAATTGAATAATTCTATACCTATAAGAAAATTGACTAAAAACGCAACAGTACCGTCAAGGACACAAACGAAAATTTTTAAATCAACAAATTAAAGAAGTGAATTGGATCAGCTGAAATAACGTTTAACAACGTATTTTTAAATATAAAAAATAGTCCTTTCGCTATTCATATATTAAATATTTAGTTTTATTATGTTATAAAATGATTTAATGCATTATTAAATTTGTTGAAAATGTTAACTGAACATACTTTATGTACATTTATGTGCGTTAAATTAAAAGTTTTTCAAAATAAGAATCTTCGAATTACTACCAATTATATTATAACAGTTTGTAGGAACAGTAAATCTATTAGGATTGGTTAAAAACATTTTTACCAACACTTATAACAATAAAATATTTTAAAACTTATTGTATCACAAATAATTTTTGAAACTGTTTGAAAATATGACTCAGGCATATGACCTTCTATCGTATTTTATACATAAAATTTATTGACACTAATATAGTAACGAAATACAATAGTTGTTTAAAATTATATGCCAGCGATTATAAATGTTAAATGACCTAGTACAACTTCACTCCAACCACCAAATTCACAAAGTATTCTATTTTGAAAAATTATGCATTTATAGGTATATTATTAAAAAATATTTTTGAAAAAAAAAATTCATAAACACTTTTTATCAAATATATAAGCGACTGCTTATCTAGACAATTTATCGGAGGGTGGGTCAAAAGAATTTTTTTTATAGTTATATAATAAATATTATTTATAATGACCTTTTAGTGTTGAAAATCCTTCTAAAAGTAAAATTTTTGAGCATTAATTACGTGGTCGTTTTATTTTTGGGTGGTTTTGCGTTTTATCGAGTTCATTTATAACTATACCTCTGATTTTTAATAAATTTTGTAAGTATTGAACAGTATTAATGTAAAAAAATGTTTAAAATATCAAATAAATTTAATTTTGGTTTGAGTATCCGACACAGAAAAAAATGTAATTTTATATATATATTTTGTTTTTACATTTTACATTTACAACAAAATGGTAAATAATCTTTATGATTTATCTGAATTGAAAATGATATCCTAAAAATACATTCCCTAGTACAATACCATAGGTGTAAATTTATGAACAAATTTGAGGGGTTAAATTGCCCTTAACATAATTTTTTTTGTATAAAAGTACATATAATTTTAGAGGGCTACAGAAACTGTTGTGGGATAATTCCTATGATTTTTTCTATAGGAATAACCTTTTACGTCCATTATTTTTGAAAATTTAGTTGCATTAATTTTATTTTGTAAAAAAGCTTTATGTATTATTACGAAAATTCTACATACTGAATTTTTTTTTATGATTCAATGTATTACAGATATGTATTTTTTGTCTCCTGAAATTCTTTTCACAATCAGTTATAGACCTAAAAAAATACTTTTTTTTACATTCCTGGTTGTTAAATGGAAAGAAATCACTCCAGAACTCTTGCAATATATATTGCTTTCAAAATTATAATAAGACGAGCAAAATGACTTTTTTTAACATGCTTAAGTTTGATATCCAATGATCGAGAATCGAAGAAAATTTTAATAATATTAATTTAAAAATAACAGATTATTATTTTTTATAGTTAGGCTTACAATTTTAATTTAGTTGAGAATTAACTTTTATTTAACTATATATTTAATATTCATGTGCAAAATCATTAGTTTTATCAAACTATTTTAAATTAAAAAAATATTACATCTATATAACATGACTTTTTGTAGCAGTTTTTATTTTAGAAACAATGACCTCCACTTTTTCATAAAACATAAAAAATTCTTAATGAAACACCTGACCATGAACATAATTTCCAATTTTTAATAATTATTATGATTAAGTTAATGAATAAAGAGGTCTATTAATAAATTATGTAGGACAAATAACGAAGTTAATTGAATAGGTTAAAAGAAATTTTATATAAAAAAATATTATTAATTTTGTTATATATATTTAAATATGCTTTGAAATGTCTACAATTTTATGATAACTTCACTTGAATTTTTTCGTGTCTATTTTATCAACAATTTTATCTAAAAACATTTTATTTAAAAACTATAATATACTGGATTTACTATAATCTTTCAGTTGAATACATACAAGGTAAACGGTGTTTTTCAAAGTAGCATAAACTAAAAACAATAATAATTTAAAGCCATTCACAATATACAAGTATTACGTACTTTCAAGTAGTTACTACCTAATTTGCTTGAATAAATAGAAAAATTGATCAAGTGTGTACAGAAGTAAACTTGGAGTTCGTTTAAAATTCACTTTCCCTAAAAGCAAAAGTAATGAGCAAAAAAAGATGTTTGATTCTATTAACCAGAGTGACGCTAAAATTTACCAACTATCAACTATACATTCTAAAAATGCTAACCGCTAGTATTTTTAAATAATATTGGGGTTTAGTAAGTTGGTTGCTTACCAAGAGAAGGGTAAGTAATAAGTTTTACAATTGAGATAATTGTACTGAGATTCATTCGATTCTAAAGAAACCTATGACTTTGAGATCATGCGAATATTACACAATGTACTCTTCCAGAAAATTTTGAAAATAAATTTACATTCATAAATTTATGAGTACGGCTCTTAAATTAATATCTACATAAATAAGTATATTTTAGTACATCTAGATAAACTATAATTTCTTCATATTTTAAAATTGTATTTGTAAATTACAAGTTTAGATTTCTTTTAATTTTCTGAAAAATTCAACTTGGTTTGATTTGTTATGGAAACGTCTACCTAGTAATATATTTGATCAAGTACTTTTATCTTTGTCGATTTTAAATAAAAAAGTGTTTTTAATTGAAACAAATGGTATGTCAATGCATATTGAATATCCAAGTATTCCTATAATAATGCTTAATTATTTTACCACAATTAATTTGATTTTGACACAAATTTAATCGAGTAAATGAGTTGAATATAATTTTCATTCATAATTTCCAATCATGTCAGTCTTAAATTTGTAATATTTTTATATACTTCAATGATAATTCACAATTATTTTTAAGTAATTAAAATGTATGAATAAAAAAATAAACTTTAGTAATATGATTGTACTAATGTCATGATATAGTAACATAGGAAATATAAGTGCGGGATATTAATTTTAGACACAATGAAACTTGCAGGTCGATGACTAAATAAGTAGACAAAGGGAAACAGTACCGACAATTTAGCCTTCCCTGTACGTACGCACTGTATGTTCTGTACGGCATAAAGTTGATGTTTGCGTTAGTATGTACCGTCGTGTGTACACTGTACATGTAATGTTTGTTTGTTTGTTTATTTTTCGTGTATAGAACAGAGGTATTTCGCGGTGGTGAGCGAAGATCGGGGGCCCGAAGGGGGGCAGCAATACAGAGTGTACGGGAATTGGTGGCGGCAAGCGACCGAGCGAGAGGGTACCAAACACAACTCATATTTAAATAAACAAACCCTCTACCGCTGCCCTCCTGTCACCGCAATGCAGACCAATTGTACGCCGGGGCCCCGGCACATAACCCTCACCGCCCACTCCTCACTCGTGGACCGCTCGCCCTCCCGCCCGTCAACTGTGTCATCAACAATTCCATTTTCAAAGTGTTTACTTTGGACTAATGTTCCTCCGGTGGTGCCTCGCCGCCACTGCCGTCACCACCACCAATGTTATGTGTAGAGTGTGTTGTTAATGTTGGTAAGAAGACAGACCCGGTCGGTCGTTGTTATTGCAGTAGCGCGTCCGCTCTTCGACCAATCCATAGCGTAACACGCGTGTAAGTGTAAACGGAAGTTGAACAGTGATAGAAAAATATCAGTAGCCCGCTGAATTCGTATCACTGACAAAATTCAAATTACGCATGCACTAGCTGACGGGTACGTTTAACCGGGCGCACGTGACCGCTCAACGGAAGGAGCAACTGTACACCGGTTCGGTCGTTTATTTAATGACATTACCAGTTTTAATTAATCGCGCCGCTTTGACGACACCAACGCCGATCAACGCGTTTATCTGTTGAGATCGCTTTACCGAAGTCGGAGTGTTTTATTACACCGCTGCTTACTACCACCATCACCACTAATTTTTGATACAACATAAATTACCAAGTACACTTAAGTCAATTTTTGTGTTATGTAAGTACAATAGTTAAAAATGTTTCATTTCATATAATTTATAACTTTTTTTATTCGACTGTATGGTTTTTAAACCGACTGCTTTCGACAAAAATTAGAGTGTCTTCTCCAGTGAATGAACAGTTTTTTATATTTTGAAATTATTATATATATATTTTGATGCTATAGTCATAAAGTTGATCAATGTGTCTCTGTAAAAATTATCTATAATTATAATGTAAAAATATTGTTAATTCACTGAAACAAAAATTTGATTTAATTGTTACATTGAAAATTTAATTTTTCAGTGAATGATACCATTAATGATATTGTATCAAAAACTGTGATAACACAGTAGGACTTAATTTAGATATTTTTCTTATAGCAAGAACGACCACTACCACTTCTTACAATCAATTTAGAAGATTTTTTATTTAAAAACTCATGGGTGATCGTTGACTGGGGTAGTGTTCATTCTATGGAGTTATTACTCTTTTTATTTTAAAAAGTAGCAATCGTATATTTGAAGAAATTACTAATTAAGATTAGAACATTTTCCATCCCCGAATTATTCTAGAATATTGCATCCATTAAACATTATATCGTTACACATATGTTTATGAGTTTATTTTCCGGAAATTAAAATTGATTTTCGATAGTTGATTCATCGAATTAAGTAAACTCCCATTAAAATATTATTGTATAAATTTAGAATAAAAACTTGTGAGTAATTTCAAATATCCAAAAGTTATTTTTAAACAATATTTCACACTAAATAAAAGTACTTAAGCATGTCAACTAATGTCTAAGAAGTATAATTTATTGTGTACTTATTATATCACAATTTTAAAATAACGATCATATAAATATTTAAAATTAGAATTAGTATCGAAAATCAGCAAATATAATATAAAAACGTTTATTTTTAACTCTTAACAAGTCAACAGTTAGAACATGTGTAAAATACAAATTATATAAGGTTACTATTTTGCAATATCATTATTTTAAAACTATGAATCCATTAGAAAATAATACATCTTTAAGATTTTTAAAAATATTTTTGATAAATACTTCATTTTTGTTAAAATGTGTAAAAAATTGCAACTTGATAAAATTTTATTTACGAATTTTATTTAAACAATCAATAAAATATTTCATTGATAGAATAAAATATACTGACATGAAAAATTATTTACTATTTAAATTCATGTAGCTATTAATGTGTCACAAATTATCATAATAATGTCCCTGCGATTATTGATGTGCTGAAATAATGTTATTCCATTTTAAAATAATCTCGGAAATCTAGAGGCCTCATAAGAAATACAATTCTAATTATATATTACATTTGTTTTCGGCTAAATTTTTCATAGACTAATTGAAATGCATATTATTAGAAAAACACATAAGTGCAGTCACAAATTCAAAAATATTGACACAAAAAATCCAAAAAAGCACGTGCCTAACAATAACTTTCGCCATTGTCATTATGTGCACCTATAAAAAAAATATATTGCATTCACCTTTTACGTAAATACATAACTGTATTTATATATACTTGATACTTATATTTATAAATATGACTAAAATTACTCTATAATTATTATTAATGCAATACAAATGAAAAATGTACTATTTATTTATTTATTCCCCGTTCATATTTTTTGTACTCTGTATAAAATAAATCGAGTAAATTTGAATGAAAGAAATGTTGTTATTTAATATTTTTAGCGTTAATTTGCACATTGTTTGGTAAATGTTTGTCAAACATAGATTGTATTAAAATATCTTTATCATTATGAATGAATTTAATTTTTCAACAATAACATGTAATCATAAATTCTAAAATACATATTTTAATTCTGATATTTTAAATTAGAAAGCATAGAACTCGTTAAAAAAATTATCATCCAACAAATTGTGTTTAGTAGAATTTTATGTATTATTATGTTATTATTTTAAATTAACTCATTATAAATTAAAATAAATTAAGTATACAAAACGATTTATATTAATCTTTTATAATTTATTTTTTGTAATAATATTTTTAAATTGATATAACTTCAAATAATTTTTTGCTCGACTAAATATTATTGAAATTAGGCATTTTAGACGTCTTTATAGGATAATCTGCATTTTAAATTCAATGCTTCCTACAAAAATTGTATATTTTTATTGAATCTAATATGTGTAAAAAACAAAATAATACTCTTAGTGATCATGTAATCAGTTCATTAAATTTATTATTGTTCAAGAAGTACTTGTGCACACATATTCTGATTCACTCTGCTAGCTGGCGATCACCGGAGTCCCATAGATATTTTTCAATAATGGACTTCCCACCTGTTTGCATTACTTAGGATGGGGAGGTGATATTCCCACTAATACATGTTCGTAAATGACAAGAAAACCTTTCCTTCTTTTGATATTCTTAATTAATTTTATGAGGACCGCTAAAAATTATATGCCGGGACCTAAACATAAGTCAGACCAACGTTGCGGGTAGGCGATAATAGTATGGCTCAATTTTTTTCGATAAACTAAATAGAACATAAACAATTCTATTTTGCAAAAAAAAAATATGAATTTCATTCGAGAATTTAATTATTAAATATTTATAATTATTACTGTTTGCTTTAAAGGCGATACTTCTACTTCTATATCTTGTGCTTAAAATTATTTATGATTTTAAAAGTAAAATATATAATTAGTTGTATTTTTTTCAGTAGATTTAAGAATTTTTTAACTAATTTATATTATTTATGAATTGCATAACGTTACAGTTTTTTAAGATCATTTATACTTATTTTTTACATATTTGTTTAAAATTTAGATAACGATGATCGATAAACATATTATTTTTATTTGATAAAAGACATTTGACAAAATATAATAAAAAATAAATATATAATATGTTAATACGCTACAAACTACTAAAAGAAACATAATAAAGCTCTGTAAGAATATCACAAAACAAACATATCACACCATGTTATTCAATTTGATGATTCTATTTATAAAAAAGCCCTATTTAATCAAACATTTTGTTTTTAAATGTTAAAATTTTACAAACTTTTTTGTAGTCGGGGTCAATTATTATGATTCCCGACACATATTACACTGTATTTTGTATTTTATTATCAAGTATACATTGAAGAACAGCTCAAATATTGTAATCTTTCCGTTGACGCAACTCGTTTGTTTCATATCTTTGTTTACCGTAATGTGAATTAGCCAGAAATTGCTTATGTGTGTAAAAAATATCATAACAAAATTGATTATTTTCATTATTTGTACAACACTCTAATAATGTACTAAATATGCGTATTCATAAAATATTATTACAAGGAAAAATAATAAGAATCATTGGAGAGCAAACATTTGAGTGCGATATGACAAAATTTACCATTAAGAGTATATTTGTTTCTAAACATTTCAGAATAGATTAACAATTTAACTTTGCTTTAAATTTTATTTTCCCATTGGAAGTAATCAATTCACGGTGACATAATTTGATCAAAAAAATGAGAATATAAATAATGATAGGGGTATAATAATCGTATAATAATAAAAGTTAAAATTTTCACGTACTTTAAAATAATTTATTATAATGTAATAGTTTAATTATTACTTACAATAATCAATTTTATACTTAATTTAATTTATAAGATAGGTTAATATCAAAATTTTCCTCAAAACTACTCCACAAAATGGCTATTTTAACATTTTTTTTATATTTTTCATCAATTTTTTTGAATAAATAAAATAACTATTGTTTAATATAAAAAAATTATAGTTTCAATCTAAAACAATTATTAGAATAAAAAAAGTAACGAAAAATATTGGTTGGTCAAAAGATATTACATTTGTAAGAACATCAAAGACAATTCTGTATAAATAAGTCATACATTAATGTTATATTATATTAATATATATATATATCACTCTGTATATACATATAGTCTATTAAAAAAGTATGGAAACAGGTCATCTGTTATAAATAATGAAAATAATAGAAATACGTTTCCTTACTTATTGAACATTATGCATATACAAGTGGTTCGCTAACTATGTTTCAGGCAATAGTTTAAGATAAAATATAATATTTTATATACTTTTTTATTCTATATACTTATATTAACATGCATATTTAACTGGTTTACAAATAAGAAGATGACTGATCAATAAAAGTATTAGAAATAGATCTTCAGAAATTATTAATACTTTAATTAAAAGATTGTAAGTGAAGTTTCGGTGTGTTTATTTATATCTCTAAGTATTTAAGAAACGCTCTACTCCTCTTCTTTGGTGTAAAATTGCTAATAACTAGTTTTCTTAGTGAGACCATTCTCTTATATGTAAACAAGTTAAATATGTATGTTTCCATTTAAAAAACTAAAGATGGTAAAATTTTAAGTGGAAGAAAGAGAGGACAGAGCTATATTTAGTTTTATTATTTTAATTGTTAGAATGGTCACAACTTTTGGAAAGAAAAAATTATACTTTATTTTATACTTGTAAAGATGTTACATGCACACAGTTAGGGGATCACCTTGTATAGTTTATAATGTCACATTGCTTTATTATAAATATCAACTTTTTCTACTAAAATATATCTAAAAAGTCTAAGTTATGTTTTTCTTAATATAACAAATATAATTACTCTCAATTGATAGCACAGTACAAATAAAACTTTTTGCTGATTATCTTTTTTTTATAAAATAAATTGAGTAATTACAATATATAATCAATAAAAAAAATGTATCATATTCATAAAATAATAAATTTTTATAAATGTTTTTACTCTCAATTAAAAACTAATCTCTTTACAATAAAAATGGAAAAGTTTAATAATTTGGTTACTCATTTAAACACTTAAAATTCGTAACTTATTTCAAGTGCTAATTTATTATAATACACTTGTCATAATATTAAATATATTATCAATATTCACATAGTTTGTCCTTACAAAGTGGAATATTATCAAAATAATTTTATTTGATTTGAAAAAGATTTAAGATTTAAAATTTATCTAATTTTACATAGAAACCAACTTGAAATATTAATTTGTTTAAGATTTTTTGGTAGAGATTATGTAAACTCTTAAAATAAATTTGAATTGACATTAAATGTGTACATAGCAACATTTGATAAAAATTCAAAAGTAAATACTCTTATATATTTGCTGTGTTATTTTTCATTTGACCAGTGCACAATGCTCGAATTAGTACAATTAAAATTTTGGAATTCTCCTAAGGTATGAGAGAGCGTTACCGGAAAAAATTGATTTTTTTAAGAAGTATTAGGACTCAATGATATGTGTTTTTGAAATATGATTTTTGAATTTATATTTATTTATACAACTAAAAAAGAAAGTTTAAGACCTTTGAAATGACAGCTGAGTAAATGTATACGTCTTCTTAAAGATAGGTGTATTAACTATAATGTCAAGTTGGATAGATAAGTGCTATTGGTCAAATTTTATAATGGGAAAATAAAATTTCCCTTTAAATCTCTCCTTTTACTATCTCATAAGGAATATTGTGTTTAGATAATCATGTAATATTTTTTGACAGTAAAAACTGAACTAAATGAATTTTCAATGCCACAGACAAGGCCCGCGCTAAACATTGGGGCACCTTTTATGAAATAATTTTGCGGGGCTCAATATTTTTTTATTTAATAAATTTGCTCAGCCTCTTAAAATTTATGTGAAGACACTTCACGCACTCTTACCACCGTCTTTGGCTACAAATACTTCATTAGTTAAATTATAACGGATAAAACAATAGTGGTTGTGTAACCAAACATTAATGTTCAAATCTTATACTTTTTGTGTTTGTTTTTATTACTGCATTCTGTAATTTATATAAAATATAGTTATAAATTCTACATAGTTTATCCACTTAAATAAATGATAGACTACTAATTTTCATTTAATACTTTCACCATTCCACTTAGGATAGTGTATAAGAGGTGTTCAAGAATTTCAGTTTTTATTTATTTTTACTTAAAATTAATTTAAAAGATCAAAAAAATCACTAAACAATTTTTTATATTACAGCTTTATAAAGAAATTTCTAGGTAAATACGCCTGTTTATATTTTAATATTTTTCAACAAGTCCATTTCATATAAAAAAAAAAGCTAGTAAACGTTCGTGGAATTTTTTTTGTTTAAAAAACCATTTTAATTGTTTTTTTACCACTGAATTTTGGTTGTATTTATTTGATAAACACATAAAGCTTTTAGTATCAATATTTTTCGATGATTATATTTATATTTGTTTTGAATCATTTAGAATTTTCTGAAATTTAGAAAACAAAAAACAATTATTTTGACTTGAATTAGTTTACTATATTTGGCAAAAAATATACACAGCCTGTGGACTGTGGACACATGACTGTAGACGCAGCCTATGATTTTCAAATAATAATGTCAAGATGTATTAATTAACTATTTAGGTTATGACTTCCAACTTTCGCGTAATCAACTCTATTACGTGAAATTGAATGTCATTGTTGCAAATTTATAATCTAAATTGTTTGTAATTTATACATAATGTCTCACGTATTTGAGTGTTTTCAATGTCATATACTATTTGCAATGCATGAATGTAATAATTATTATTCTAGTTCAGTGCACTTCTTCGATATGCCAGTTAAATAGTAAAAATAACTGATAAAGAAATTGAAAGTAGATCCACACCATAAGTGAACCGAAAATTATTATGCAGTATAAATTAACTACATTAATTACACCTTAGACAACTTAATGCATACAATTAATCTCTTGAGTTAATTGGTCATTGTGACGCGTTTAAAAATTGTATTCGTCGTCTGTTATTTATTTACATGTATGTAAGTTACAAATTTATTATTCTTTAAAATTTTGCTATTAGTTTAATTTTAACAAACAACAAATTGCAATTGTTATAAAGTAATAGAAAATAAAAACATCACATATAAACTATTTTAATTTTATTTCGCAATGTCATGGGCTTCTTAATAAAAACCTTTAAAATTTTATCAAATATCGACAGTTTCTCTAATATTTGGCCATCATGTGTAAAATAAGAAAATATATTTTATATTAAACATATATTAAGTTTTATACCTATATTTTTTCGGCCTTGATTACTTCCATTTCTGCCAATTGTGTAAACACGTAATATCCTTACACTCTTGTTCCTATTTACAATAAAATATGTGTACATAGAATATGTATTTGTATAAATATTATAGTTGTAAATCGAATAAATATGTATAAAGAACGGTTCAAATAATAAAACAGACGCAAAAAAAATAATCACTAATATTGTTTTTTATTACATATTTTTTTACAATATTCATTCATATTAATAGATTATCGACAGTCGAACATTTATTTAACAAATACAATATAACCAGTTTTATTTAGTCTAAAAGAAGTTCGTATTTCTATAACATGTACACACAATTTGAAATTAAAAATTGTATTATTTGGAAACCTTCATTCGTCATTTTTATATTTTTGCGACTATTAAAAGACTTAGACACATAAACGTAATCAATTAATTAGAAATTTAAATATTTGTTAATTTGATTTCCTTTAAAATCATAACTGTTAAGTTTAAAATAAACACGAAATTTGAGAAGTCCAGTCTTATATTTAAGTGTCAATAACCCTTAGTTAGCAATTAAAAACAATATTGTTATACATATTGAATTTGGATGTCAACGCCCTATAAGGTTTTCATATTTTAGGTATTGTTTTGTAATTGGTTCAATATCATTTAATTTTGCTGTACACTATGCATTTTGTGCGTCATAAAATTAATATTAACATTGACATTATTTTTAATATTGCTATGAATCACGTGTTAATTTCGTGACTGATATTAAAGCGATTTTTTTTTTACAAAAATCCACAATCATAATTTATGTATATAATTAGATTGAAATTTAAGAAAATTAACCGAATTAAAATTGTAGTACTTATTTTAAACTACAATGATTCTTTTAGCTCTTATGGTTTTTTAGGTTATATTTTTCTTCATTTGATAACTATAAATTTAGCAAACAATTTTATTTATAAGAAACGGTTCAGAAAGTTTATTAGTCATTTAAAAAATATTTTAAAATTATAATTTATTATTTAACTAAATCATCACATAACTTATGTTATAATACTAACTTTTTTCAATCTATTTTTTTGACACGGTTTTTTTTAACTTAATAATTATTTAAATAGATTTATGAAATATGAAAAAATAATTCTAATTTATCTTCAAAATTATTATACACTTAATCAAACATATTTAAAAAATATAAAAAAAAAATTATAAACCAATAAAATTTTAATTGTCACTATTTTATGTTAATATCTTAGTTAATTAATTCCTAAAAAAAATTAATTAATATTTAAAAATGTTTATACATTTTTTTTTCGTAGATTAATTGTTTTTTGCTTAATATATTGAGTGATTGATTCTAAAAAAGTAATAATTTTGAGAATTATTCTTTTTGTTTTGTTTAGTATTATTAATTTCTCAATTTATAAGTGGTTAAATATCTAGTAGGTTCATTCCTTTTCCCTATAAGAGCAACAACTTATTTTTTTTACTTGGTAATGTTCATATTTAATTAAATTAAATTATAGACAATGACCCTACTAAGAAAGTGATTAGTCGATAACAACATTTGAACCAGTATTTCAAAAGATATTTGCATTTTTGTACAGAAATAAATATGTTTATATTTAGGTAGAAAAAGAAACATGACAGAGTGATGCATAATAATAAAAACAACATAAGACGTATCATATCTTTAGTTACATTTAAAAATCATAATAACTTCGGAAATACTGGTCCCCAACACTTGCTATTAATCAACCACATTTTTAGTAAGATCATATTCTAACTTTTAATCTATTAAAGTATGTATGTAACCATTAAAAATAATTAAATTGGTACCCTTATAAGGAATTTAACCACTAAAATTATATAAATAAATTGAGAAATAAATAATATTAAACTAAATAAATAAAAAATTTTAAAATTATTATAGTAAAAATTTAATGGTCAACGGAGTGATGTTCTTAGGGGTTTGCCTTTGGAAGATATATAAATAAGAAATTTATTATAATACCCCTCCAAAATACATCTTTAGCTAAAATTATTTTTATCGTAGGGGTTCTATCCTCCTCATTCCAACAATAAATCAATCACCCTGTACAAGAAAAATGAGAAATACTTGTAATTTTAACTACTAAAATATATAATAAATTATCAGGTAGACATACTCTTTGTATAACAAATTGTTTTAACGACAAATTTATAAAAAGTAGTTTTGTCCCCTTTTAGATAAAAATAACATGGTTTTAAAATTTTTAAATATTACTAATTTTTTTTTGCCTTAAAGTTAATACTAAATAATGCCAGATTTGCGAATAAATATTTCGTAAATTAATTTTTATTTGTTTATAATGTGAATAAAAACAAAAATCAATAATTTTTCTTCAGCAAACTTAATACATCTGTTTTTTTTTTTTTTTTGTTTTTAGACAATGCTTAAAAAATGAATATAAATATTAATTTATAATCATAATATATTATAATCATATAAAAAAACTGTTTTTTAGTGTTACATACGAGATGCGAAGTATTAGTGAACGATTACTTTAAATTATATAAATACAACAATTATGACGTGGTATAAAAGTACACATTTAATAATATAATATGTTTTACGATATTTATCGAAGGTGGATTTTTTAAAAGAAAATTTAAAAATAAAATGATTATACATAAGTGATTTACTTATTAAACAAAGAGTGCCTACGTAATAACGAAAATATTTTATTTTATATAATATTAATAATAATATATTAAATAATATAATACAATATAATGTATTGTATTATATTATAATAACAGTGTCACCGAATCCTTAAGTGCCACTAAGGCAGTTATTCAACCTCCCAAAGGATTAGTGTATGGTATACATTTTCCATGTAAATCATCCATTATAAGTAAATAAAGTATTAATAATTGTATACTGAAGTCTTTATAATATGTTTAATTTTGAAAATATAGTTGCTAAAAGTTATTATATTACGAGTAATAATTTTTATTCAATAGAATTTATTATGTTAGTTAATATAAATTTACTTGGAATAATATACGATCCTACAAAGCAGTGTCGTATTTAAATATTTTTATGAGAGTTCAGATAGAACGTTGAGTATTGGGGAGATTCACCCCTCTACTACCCATCCCAATTAAATGATTTTATATCTAAGGTAAAGGGTCCGGATTCTGTGGACTACTTGAGTAAATACACTGCTGCAACCGAGTTGTTATTTGTTCAAACATTTCATGTCCGAATATGACAACTATTTGTATAATAAATAAATAGTTTTATTAAAGTAAACTATACAAGTTTTTCAATAATTAGAAAATAGTTATTAGAAATGAAGAGCAAAAAAAAGTCATGCAATTCATAATGAGTGGGCGGTGTTTTAACAATTTAAACAAAATTGCCCTACCAACTATTGTAGACTTAGACGACACTACTGATTTATTAAATTTAATATATTAATTTTCATTAACATTTTAGAATTGATAATTATTAATTCGATATTACTGTTCCGTCTTAAGATATTCCCCTACTCATGTATTTACATATTCTTTCAGTTATAAAAAAAAACATATCAACTCATATGTAACTATCCATTAAATATCGTCATATTAAAAATAAATGATTTAAAAGTTTAACAGTATAAATAATCTTAAGTCGATATTCAAATGCGCAATTTTAAAAAATCATTAAATAAATAATTCTATTTTAAATTTGTGGAATACTTAAAATAAACAAATGCGGCAGTTATACATACGTTTGAAATAAAACACAAATTTAAAGTAAAATATTTTTTTAAATTAATGATTTATGTTTTAACTGTAAGTTAAACACTTAAACAAATTAGAAATCATTGTAGTCCGAATTAAAAATTAATTTAAAAAAAAAATTTGTAATTTTATCTTTCTTGTAAAAAAAATATCGATCAAATAACTTAAGGATACATTAATCAAGGTTATTGTATGTAATATCGAAAAATATTTTTGTTGTAATATATCAGCTTAATTGTATAACCTCTCATCTAGTGTTGAATAATTTCTGAAAATCAAATACTGAAACGCGGATTGTATGTACGTACACTAGTACGAGCTACACCCCCGCGCAACGTATGTATCAAAATGCTTGTAACTAAATAAATACTGATCCTAAAGTTAATATGGAAAATTATATTTATTTTTTATTATCGATAGACAATAAGATAATCGTTTGAACGATGTGTGTGAGACGCATAATAATTATTAAAACAAAATGATAATTGTACCAAATGTCATGAGCGTTTATTAGATCCAAGTCCACTAAGTGTCTCGGATTATGATTACAGCTGTATATCATTACACATTTTTCGACCGTAGTTTTTCTAAAATGTAAAAATCTAACTTAAAAATAATCATAACCCGTGAATGGCACACAGTGTAAAACTATTACGTTTTCACACAAACTTAATTCATTTTAATACAAACTACATTTTAAAACTATAGGAATTTACGAAATAATGGTAAAAACGTAGTTATTTTCTATTATCCAATTTTTCTATTATTTATAGCCTGGGTCGTTTTGAGAAGGAGACGTAATTTTTTAATAAAAAAAGATGCTACCAAAAAAAGTTTATCAAAAATAGGCACACAATTGAAAAAAACATTATTAAATCGTCAAAAATAAACCGGAGATTGCAAAAACAAGTATACCCCAAAAAAAATTCAATGAGTTTTTCTGGTCTAAATTCAAACAATTTTTTCAAAATCCATAAAAAACCTTTTTTTGACATATCTTTAAGTATAAAAAAATTTTTAAATATGTATGTATCAAAACTATTTTTTTATGATAAATTATATACATATACATTTTTCATTCGATATACTATTTTTTAAATGGGACTTTTTCCCATTATACAGGGTGGTTAAAACCTTTAAATATACGTATAGAAAGTAGATCTTTTTCAACTTTTGATAATGTTCCGGAAATACTGACACTTTTATTTATTTCTTAAATTAATGCTTATATAATATACTTTACTATGAAAAAATAATTTTCGAGATATAGAGAAAATGGTTATCATATTCAAAGATATGCTATTTATTTGTTAAACTTCTGGGTTTTGTATTCTATTTTATTTTAAAATACCTTACTAGGGGAGTACACAGATTTTCATAAATATTATATAAATCTAATTGACATAGCATAGTTAAACTTTTTTTTTGCTTCTTTTAAGTCGAGAAAAACAACTTTGAAATTTGAACTAATTTAATTTGCCATTTTTTTTGGCCCAAGTCGGTAACACTTGTGTCTTACGCGCTTAGGATACGAGATTTAAACTCGCCTGTGCCTATAAATTTTTTGTATTTTCATCGTAACTCTTATTGAGTTAGAAAAAATGTTTTCATTCATTTGGTTTTTATCTCATTTAGTTTCAATAACTTCAATAAAGATCAAGGATCCCAGCACTGTAGTCTCCCCTCGTAAGAAGAAATTTCTTATTTATATTAAAATTATTTTTCTATATGGTATTTTTTTGTGACTATCATTTATTTTCTCAGCTCTCACTTGACCTACTTATACGATAAAAATGCAAACAAATATTGAGCTTTTCTGATAAATTTACTGTATAGTTTACTTAATAGTAATTATAAAATTTACTGACTGCATATTAATCTTAACAATCACATTTTTTAATTCTCATAAAATTTTCTATTCAATGATGTCAATTTCAAACTTGCAAGTTGTGCTAAAAGTTATGGTAGCAAATTCAACTTTTTTTATTATAAACTATCACAAAAACAATTTTAAAGGACCAAAAGAATAGATTAAAATGCCATTTTGCACTGATTAATTTTAACATATTAAAAATCAAAATCAGTAATAATTTGAAAACAAATTTTATTTTGTTTTAATTTATTTTTATATGTAAATACTCATTTTTTACTAGTTAATAATAATATCAAATATTAAAAGTGATAGAAAAAGTTTAATTGCAGATTTGAAAATGACGTGAAAAGTTGAAAAAGAAAAGTATATTTTTGATTCTGATGAAAATGCATTTGTAGTCCAGTGTATTTATTCATAAGTAACAAACAGCTTTTAATTAAAAGTATTGCATCAAGCCCTTTAAATTTTTATAGACATTAAAAGTAAAGAAATATACGACTACTTTATTATTTTTATAATTTCACAGTATAAATTATTAAATATAAATTTCATACTAAATTTAATTACTATAATTAGTATTTATTTATATATTATATTTTTAAATCAAAGAACCACTAATTCGGATATAATTAAGGAAATAGAAGTTGATGTTGCTTATGTAATTATCCATCAATTTCTTAGAATTAAACTCTATATACAGATTTGCATCGAAGTGTGTCTTAGTGATTTTAATCGTTGTCAGATATCAGCTATACTTGTCCCATCTATGCCACGTCCACACTGCTACCGTTTTTTTAAACATAAGATACACAGAAAAACTTAACATTTTTTATTACTATTTGTTTGGGTATGTCAATATAAACAATTTTTATGTATGTCATAAATATAATTATTATAAAACTATTTCGAAAGTTAATTGATTCAAAATCCGGTGGATTTTTTGGATCCATAAAAATTCCTAATGTTTTGGGTATTTTTAAAGGAACCAGGTTTTTCCTACCTTGTTTTAAACAGATCACCCTGTTATGTAATAACTAACAAATAATAGGGTAACTAGTCTAGTTACTAGATATTCCCAGAAGAGAACACTGTTGGTATTACTTAAATTATATTTTTGTAGTATCTAAACTAAGTAATTTTGTTAAGTTATTGTGACCTGTACTGTCAAAAATTATAACTCTGAATGAAGTATGCTATGACTAATCAAAATACTTTTTAATTATGTGGTGTTTAGTTTTTTGAACTTAAATTTAATTTTGTTTGTTTGTTTTTTATTAAATATTGCTTAAAGTATATGAACTTTGGAGAAAATTATTATTATTAATTTTATTCACAATAAAAATTCTTTTTTTTTAATTTGTAATTTCAGTAAATCCTCAATTATATCACCATGCCCAACAAATAAGGCGCTAACTCAAAAAATTCAATTTTGAAATTATTAAGTATTTGGATTTAGGTTTTACTCTTCTTATAATAACTTTTATCAAAATATCGTAAATTTACTTTGAAACGGAATTAAACTACTTAGAAAATTAATAAACATATAGAGTGTAATTAGAAAATACATTTTATTTTTCATCTCCTGAGAAGTAATAAAAAGTGATAAGACATACCGATAAGATGATTATTCGAATTAACCAAGTTTTGTTTTCAATTTCATAAGAAAATGATTTCAAGAATAAAAAATATGACATTCATACTTAAAAATGTATTTACTATTTTAAATAGTAAGAAATATAAAACTATCAAGGCGTAACCAGAATAAAATATTTAGAGTCGTAAATTCCCTAAAAAAAAAGGGTCCCTTATTAAAAATAAGAAACCCTATTTTCATCAATGCAATCTATTTAAAGTGTTTTTTTTTTCATATAAATCCATAAAAACATATTATAGCCAAAAATAAAATTATTTTGCATGTATTATAAATTTGAATTGCATTTTTCAAGATATTTTTATTAAATGCATATTATTTTTAACTATTAAAGTGCATATAAATCCGGACTCTATTTTTTTCATTTATAAATTATGAATGAAGAAAAAAAATGATTATTAGTAAACTATTATCATATCATAAAAACAATTTTTTACAGTAACTTTATTCAATTTTTATTTATGGGAGAAAATCTGGTGGACAATTAAAATTTTAACCTATATCACTATATTTATATAATCAATTATGAATATAATTAAATTTTAGTGATATATATAATAGACATTTAATGTTTAGACCTCTAATTACCTTAGTATTTTTAATCTCCAAAGTAATCAATTAGTGGCCTTTAGCTACTTTAATTGATCATAGAAAGTAAAATTGTTATGGCTAAATAAAGATTGTTCTTTATTACTCTGGTACACAGTCATATATTCTAAAATATTCAAATCAAAATTTTCTTAAATTGATAAAATATTACATTATGAACATCATATTAGAATTTTACACAAATAGAACATATACTAGAAGTTATACTTCAACAAAAAAATATATATAACAACAATAAAAGCTGTTTTGAAAATAATCGAAAATGTTATGTGTTCTTATATCACAAACCTTAAAAAAATAGTTTTATTATTCTTAAGAAATTTTTTTTTATATTTTTAATTAGCTGTTCTTAAATGTGGATTCAAAAATATTAAATTACTTAAAATAATATGAACAAATTAAATTACTTACACTATTCTGGATGGGTTTAGTTTTTTTTTTCAATGTTAAATGTAAATTTAATAAAATATTAAATTTACTATGACGTATTGACAATTATTACGTTCAAATATTTAGATTAAAATAAAATTTCATATCTATTAGATCATTTTTTTAGCAAAACATATTTTTCTAAAAAAAAAAAGTTATAATTACTAAAATTAACCATTGATTTTGTGGTTTTAATTGATATTTTAATATCACTTATATGAGATAGAAGGACGTTTTAATTCAAAATTAGATTGATTATTTTTAATTATTTTTATGAGGAATAATAAATGCAATAGCTATAATATGATTTAAAGAATATTATTATTTCATTTATTTTTATAAGAAATCAATAAATGACTGATCAATTAGTCCATTACTCTTTACGATCATTTTGAATGTAAAACTAAGGGAAATTGAAAATTTATTTAATGTGAGTTTTCTTTTTAATATGTTTCATGAAACTACATAAAAAAATATTGATTACAATTTTAGACAATTAATATTGTCAAATGACACCTTTCTCATCTCAAATAGAGACAACTAATATCTTACCATAATATTTATCATTTTGTTTCATAGTTAAATTATTTTGTTAATTAAAAGAATACTACAAATATAATTCAGACGTTGAAAAAAATCAATTGTGCTTTATAAACTTAGATTTTTCACGATGTTCTCTGGTAAAAGTTGACATTGATATGCTTTTTGAAACAAGAATCACTTTTCATCGTGTATTATTTTTATGAATAGGTACAGCATATTATCTTCAAATATCTAGAAATATTTCTTTTCTTTAAATAAAAAATACATATGGAAGCAGTTTGATTGGGTCTATGGGAGCCAATATACATACCAAATATACTTAAATAATACCTTCTACGAATAAACCGTATGGGGGAGACTTTAAATATGAGACAAGGCAATATATAATAGAGAAACTTTCCATAATTTGTATTTCTATAGGTGAAATTGAGTATCAAACTATAGCGTTATCAGTAAATGTTTTAATCTATGTCTATACTATGTTAAAATCAGTGGCGGTTCGTGGTTTGGACGACGGACCCCATACTGAAATTAATTAAAAGAAGAAAATTAATTGTAAATTCTACAATCTACATTTTAGCTTCGATGCGAAGCTGAGAAGGTATTGGTTTTACTATGATGTGTTTTTTTTTTTTTTTTTTTTTTTTTTTGTGTCTGTTACCACTTTTTCTCAGCTCTCACCGAACGGATTTCTTTCAACGATACGTCAAAAGATCACAAATCGTATCTAGTCGAAGACATTACCCTTCAAAATTGAAAAAATTTCCCTCGTTCCCCGTAAATGGGGGAAACCTCCAAAAAAATTACAAATTTAAAAATCGCTAATTTTCGAAATTTTTTCAATTTTTTTTACTTAAAAGTGCCATAACTTTTTCAAAAATGAATATAATTCTTTTTTATATAGATTTATAATATTATTACCTTTCATTTGGTATATTTTTTTTTATAAATTTAACACGTAACCTGCCCACAAGGGGGGATTTAAAATGACAACTTTTTCACAAAAAATTTACTTTTTCAACTTAACTTTTGGAAATGTTCCGGAAAGTCTGACACTTTCATATATATCTTAAATTAAAGCTAATGTAATATACTTTATCGTGGAAAAAAAAAATTTCGGACTTTATTTTATCTTTAGGGTGAAAATGGCTACCGAATGCTATTTTTGTGTGAAAATTTTCGATTTTTTTATTTATATTACATTTAACTTTATAATGCTATAACTTATTGAAAAGTTTATGGATCCACACAATTTTTTTATGAGAAATAATATTTTTTAATAAACCCTTTTTCATTCGACATACTTTATCTTAATCGAGATATTAATAAGGAACCAGCAGATCAAGTAGCTTTTGGAATAAAACACCAATTTTTTTAAAATTAAACACTATCTAAAGATTTGCATCGAAGCGTTTATTTTTGATAGTGATTTTAATCACTGTCAGATATCATTTACTTGTTCCAACTATGCCACGTCACCACTGTGCCGCGACCCCCCTGTGCTGGGTTTTTTAAAGATCTTTTTAAAAATATTTCTTATTAATGATACAAATTTTAAATAGTAAAATAGTTGTAATACATTTGCCGTGTGCGAACATTAAAGTTGTTTCCCTCTGTATGTGCTGGTACGCATACGAGCAGTGTTTGGACGACCGACAGCGTCGTCCGAGCAATATTCTGAGAAATATTATATTTCAAGTAAGGCGCGCAGTTGTGTGCGTGCGAGTTGGGCTCAGCTGCCATCTTATGTACGGAATTTGGACGACCGACAGCGTCGTCCATACGGTAAAATATTAGTGTATTAAGTAGTTTAATTTTAGAATTAACTGCGTATACGCTCGTCGTTATCGGTTGTTATAATAGTGAAATGATTATATTATAATCGATATTATTATTTTCATTTCTATTTTCTACAGCCACCTTTAAAATAATAATATGTGCATTGCGTTTATTATATTTAACTTTACAATTTTTTAACCCTATAACTAGCGGTGTTATATTTAAAGTCGCCACCAGCACCCGCGAGACGCCGCTGGTTAAAATGATACTTTATAGTTTTCTATAAATTTAATTATTTTAAGAAATTCAAGTTAAGATAATTAATATATTAACTGTCTAGTTTAAAACAGTTTTTTTTTAATTTAAATAAGCTTTTTATGAAAAGCTAATTCATTAATTTATTACCAAGGTAGATTATAATTGATATAAAAATAAATATAATTTTTTTAATATTACGCTATTAACTATTTCGATTGTTATTTATCTCGTCCTGATATACAAAAAATATCAGTCTTGTTTGCGTCTATTGAAACATTTTTTGGCTTTATATTTTTAATGGACAACTTTCTTTACGTCAGCCTACCCAGTAGAAAAGACAAAGTACCAGACGTTATTTAAGATTCCAAATGGTCTCCTATTTTTATACTAACCTAAAATCAGTCTCAGGAATACGCTGTAACTTATTTATTCATACAAGAAAAAATGTCTGAAATTGGTTTTTGAAATAACATTACTAACAATTAGTGCACTAATTATGTTTAATGATATCGCTATATCATTAAACGACTATTGATTAGTTTTCATATTTTATAGAATTCTATTGGAAGATGAAATTTTTTTTTATCTTAGTTGGTTTTATTGAATTTTATGACTTATTAGGGGAACCCAAAACAGTACGGTAGTTGAAGTATTGAAAAAATGTATTTTTATTTACTTAGCGTATTTATACAGTAATTTATTTTTATTAAAACATAATTGTTTTATCATGTAAACTATAAAAAGTTTCAATTCCACATTTGGAAACCAAATTTATTTGTATATAGCACGTTTTTCATCCGTGATCATCGCGAAGACTGCGCAAAAACATGTAAAAAAAAACATTAAACGAATATTTATTTACAAACAGTAAATATCTTTCAATAAAAATTTAAGAACACCGAACACTTATACAAATAGTAATAATTGTTACTTTGTATATTTATAATTCACCCGCGATGAAGTCCAATATATATAAATTACATGGCGATAAAATAAATGTAGCCAAAATCTCGAGTATACCCAACTGTAGTAATAGTCTTTGTGTCGGTTAAATAAACAAAAATTATTCCATTATCTCAACTGTGATGTAATTTATTTGGTATGTATTGAGCTTAATTTTGATATTTTAGAAAATCTGACTAGATTTTCCACTTGAGAGACTTTACAAATAAATATTAATGTTAAAGTAACAAATAACATACATATTTAATTAAAATTACATATTTAACTCGCTTTTTATTATTATATAATATAACTGTCTAATATTATTTTTTTTAATTTGTTAAAAATCATATGAATTATTTTAATTTTCATTAATTATCCTACAGTTTTTAAAATATAATAATTATTTTACACTTAAAAATTAATTGAATAGATTGATTAATTGAACTATTAAAATAAAACGAAAATTATTCAAATTGTATTAAAAAAATAATTATTAATAATCAAATACCTTTTTATATAGTGTTCAGTAAGTATGGAAACGGGTTTCCATTATTTTCATTGTTTGTAATAAATGGCTTATTTCCTTACTTACTGAACATCTCTGTATAATTAAATGGGTATTTACATTAGAAAAAAAAATTATTCACAATGTTAAATATTTTTAGTATAAATATAATACGGTAAATAATAATAAATTAATAAATAATTCTATGGCAACATGTTAAACATCAAAATTTATATTAGGTAGACTAAAATTCTTCTTCTTTTTCTTCGCGTTAATCCCAACTACTTGGAGTAAGCTACAATATAAATTAATATTTTAAAATATGCATAACATTCAACGTAACTTGTGATTAATTCAGTAAAAATTTTATTCTAAAATTAAATTACTATTTACATAAAATAAAATTAAACAAACCAAAAATTGAAAGGGGTACAACAATAATGACTAACGATAAATAATAGTAGTTACTTACAACCATCTGTACTTAAAAATGTGTGTTAATTATTTTTCTTTTTCGAGTTTGACTTTTTTGGAAACGTTAGTAATCGTTGAAATTTTTTCGTGTCAAATTTTAGTAAGTCGAATCTGTTACAGTATTGTTGTTTTATAAGAAAATTCTACATTTTATTGGTTTTATGTATCAATGACGTATTCGATTTAAAGCATTATTTATTCGATAAATATGTATTACTCATGAAAAAAGAGCATAAATAATTATTCTCTATTTTTTATTGTCAATATTCCGTATGTTTAATTTATTAATTTTAAACATCTATTTATGTGTTTGTGTGATCTACTAATGTGTATATGTGTCAGTTGGTTTGTATAATATTTTTTGTACATAAATACATCAACGGCCCATTAGTCAGCAGGGTCTGTCGTTTATCGCAGGCTCGCGTGCGTTCGAAAAAATATTATAAAAACAATAACAATTATTCGATGTAGGAGGGATTATGCACGGTACATATACGGGCACTGTGTAAATTGTTATCGTGAACATATAGATTAAATAACGATTTATTACGTTTTGGCTGAACGTTTGTGTGTATGTGTATACGATCACTTACTGTAAACCATTAAAAAATTGAAAGAAATAATAATAAAAATATTTCTAGCACAACTAATAAAACGAAATTGTAGTTGTATTGTTAATGTTATGACTTAAGACGTGAACTAATGGAGCGATTTAATGATTTGTCGTTTTCCAATACGTTTTTAATTTTAATACATTTTTATACTTGGTGATTGCTATAATTTTTTTAACCGTTATGTTTACAGAAACACATCATCACGCTTTAAACATTACTGATCAGATTGGATGCAGACCGGAATTATTTACAAGTACCATCGATAAAAAACATTTAATAGGTATGTTCAATAATAATTGGTATTTAAATATTATTCAAATATGTTTTTATCGAGTGGGATGATTAAAATCAAGTAAAGGGGGTTATAACTTTCGCTCATAAGCTGTATCTTTAATCCGTACATTTTTTAAGGGTATCATTGTGGGTTTCAACTACCATCTTCATCCCCTAAGCACGTTTTTCTTTCTATCAAATTCATGTTTTGTTATCCTCGTAATTGTCAATAAAATGTGTCTTTAATATATATATCTGATAAGAAAATCCATTATCCGTGAAGTTATAATCAGCTTAAACAATTTATAGTTTTTAATGTATAATAATGTTTATGCCTACCAAATAAGTAATAGAATAGTGTCGAATTATATTAAATATATAATAAACATTAATAATGAAAAGAAAAGCGGCTTAAAACGACTATATCTTATCTGTTTGAGGGCGGAGTGTAACGTGACAACTGATTAATTACAATTCGAACTGTTACTTGTGCAATATCTATGGAATATTTAATAAAATCGTAACCACCTGGCACTTAAACATAAAACTAAAGTTGAAAGGTTTTTGAATGTTTTATAAAATGTCCATTCTACAAATATATCTGATAAGACTTGAGAATTACAATTATTTTATATTGGAAATGATATTGAAAGTTTGCGAATCTATGAATAAACGTCCAGATAAAAAATACTTGAGTAATAAAATACTATAGGAAAAAATGTTTAATTAGGTATAAATACATTGCAGTGCGCCTCGTGATTATTTACATGTGAATAAATGATGTCTGTTAAATAGTTTTCTTTATTTTTTTTTTAATTGCACCAAAATTATAATGTTATTTACTTGAATTAATGGTATATCTTCATTTAACAACATATTTGATAACTCTTATTCGCAAGCGATCGTGGTCATTTACGATGATAGTATTAGATTTGTTTAAGTTGTCTTTATAGAACATCGACAACCAGAACTATATTTTATACAAAGCCACCGAATATTTATTTAAATTCGTGATGTACGATTTACATATAGCCAGCGTATAACATTTTTTCTTTCTTTTTTTAGATAATATAAACTTCATTTTTATTATTATTAAAACATTTTATAGTGAATAAATATACGCAACACTTTTAGTCGATATTTATCGTAATAAGACATTATTGGTTAGTTGGTTTTTTTGTTGTTTATTTTTACCTTTTATAAGTATTTGTTCGATCATATTTCCTATGTTATTTTAATACTCCGGTATTTATTCCCTGGACGTTTTTTCCGGTTATCAAAGTTTGCACCCTTAGTACTACTTAATTTACAATATTTAATTTAATTACAAAATAATCATTAAACGATTATACGGTTCATCATCTGATGTTTCAATATAAAGTGTTAAAAAGTGTTCATTTCATGAAATAACGCAACACGGTCGCCGGGGAAACTATTGTGTCAAAACGTTATCGTTTTGTGTATGAATTATAACAAATATTCAACTTAAAATAGCTGCTGCACTCTATTGATCTTTTTAAATTTTAATTGGACAACTTTTTTAAATATTTGAGGATGATGTTTCTAGTAAATACGATTCTTAAATGAACTTCTGTTTCTTGTTTTTTAATTTATTTCAATATCAAAAAATGAATAATATGTTGTTTTTATTAAAAAAATAAAAATAGTAATAATTTAGATAAATTCCGCTATTTTTAATTTCGAGAGTGTATAAAAAAATACATTCAAAACAAAAACATTTATTTTCAAGTATTCTAGGTAAAAACAAATTTAATATAAATTTAGATCATCAAGTTATAAAAAACAATAATTTTACAAATATTCTATGCAAAATAAAATTGTGAAAATAATATCAAAAAAATAATAAACAATTTAAGACAAATATTTTTCTATTTAATAGATTAGTAGGATAAAAAATACTTTTTGATGTTTACAAATAATATTTTTAAAATTCAGTATTATTTCAAGTCGAATAAATCGATGTTTAAAATATAATCGGTTGAAGACCTCAAAATAAAATATTTATAAACCTCAAATTTACAGTAATGGATATTTTTTAAACAAATTTTTATCCACGAATTAAATTATAATAACAATTAATTCTAGTTATTAGAGCACTTATAATTATTATTATTTCAGATGAACCGTGGTGCCCAAACTCGTTTGTTAGACGAACCCTCAAATTTTCTTGAACCTCCAAACATGAAAACCGAAGAAATGATACAAAACCAACAACAGCGCAACATGTTAGCTGAAGCTATAGCTTCATTACCCCAAGTACCTCAGAACCTATCAGCTCTAGCCTTATTTCATCAGTTACCTATATTATATCAACAGCACTATCAGCATATGTTACAATCCAGAATTTTACCTTATCTTCAGGAATCGCTTAGGCTACAAAGTGCTGTTAACTATCTAGACACCAAACCTCAGTTACCAGTAAGTTAATAATAATTTAATAAAAGTTAAACGGATTACATTAATAAATCCAAAGTTCTAAGTAATACACATTTTTGCAGCAAATTCCAATATTTGATCAACCAGTCGTTGAGCCATCTTCAATTATTGATATGGGCTGTAACGAAAAACCACCTTATTCTTACATTGCTTTAATTGCTATGGCCATTACATCAACCCCCAACCAGCGAATGACTTTAAGTGAGATATACAATTACATCACAGATAAATTTCCGTACTACAGAAGAAACAGACAAGGATGGCAAAATTCTATAAGACACAACCTCAGTCTCAACGATTGCTTTATCAAAATACCCAGAAGTCGTACTGGCATGGATGACAATATGGGAGGCGGAAAAGGAAGCTATTGGACCTTAGATCCCGTAGCTGCTGCTGATATGTTTGAACGAGGCAATTACAGGCGACGAAGGATGCGCAGACACAGGCCATACCAACAACAAACTGTAAGTTGTAATATATTGAATATTATCATATTTTACAGTTTTTAACGTCAAAAAAGTAGATACTTGATAAAGGTATTTTTATTCCTTTATTATAGAAGTTTATTCTACATTTTTCGCCTTTGTCTAGTTAACATAAGCAACGGAAATAAGGCGATGTAAATTAGAACCATAACCAAATACAACGATATGAATAAAAAAATGCAATCACCCAAAAATTACGAATTTCTTACATTATATCTTTTACCTACCGTGTACAGATATATCTTTAAAATCAATAAAATTGTAGAATTTTTTCTGTTGTATTTTACTAATAATTTCAAATAGTCTTTAATAATCATTGTTCTTTATTTATTATTTTATGTAGAATCAACAAGATGCAAAAACGTTGTTACCGCAGACACACTTTTCGTATCCCGAATTTCAATTGACTAGGCCTAGTCTAATAGATAAGCAACAACCAGACACCGTATCTTCACACAATCTGGCATTTCACATAGAAAACCTTATACAAAAAAATCATACGGGTGAGATACCTCAAGAAGAAACAGTTTCTTCTAGCAATATTCATAATAACAATGATCAAGAAGATCATTCAACGACGGAATCCTCAACAAAATTAATAATTATTAATGACCAAGATGACGATAATGGTGGCATTAGGCGTTAATAGTTGTTGTTGTTTTGCTCTATTGTTATAAACAAATGATAAATTTACCTGATTTTTTGCTAAAGGGCACTTTTACTCGGATATTGTACGATAATACAATTATCGTATACATTTTAATGCAACATAAATTATGCTATGTGCGCAATTCAATGATCTAAATTTTTCATTTTAGAACAATATTGAAGTGATCTTAGAGATTTAATAATGTTGCATGTAGTCATAAAAACCAATATATTTAGAAAAAAGGCCCAAAGTAGTAATCATTATCAAGTATAAATTTGTATAACGAGCAGCAAGAATTACATTTTTAATTACTATGTAAATATTTATTTTATGAATTGTTTATGTTTTTCTCTTAGATATAATTATTTACCTCTTACATAATTTGTTAAATAATAAAGCCTTTGTAAATTATTTGTAATATTTTACTTAAAATGTTATGTATTTGATGTTCCTTAATACATCCTCTTAGTAGCGCATTTAATTTTACTATCAATTAAAATATGAAGTTATTCCGAGGGAAATAAACTTCATCTAGACATTTTTGATCACTTACATTTTTTTTTATATATCATGTATTGTTTATGAACTATAATTGTTTACAGTAAAATCCGGTGATTTATTAGCTTATGATTTTAAAAACTTTCTACAATGGTGCTTGTAGTACTATATTTTTTTATTCTTAATAAATAAATTTAATAAAAAAATATATATTGGTATATTGTATGGTATTTATACTTTTTTTTTTTTTACAACCGTTAGGTTGTTTAATACCATTGGTATATCCTGGGCAATTTTTAAGTGCAGTGGTTTCCCGTTGCCTTCTGCACGGTATTTATACTAATAACTAAAATTATTTTAGTTAAATAAATAATCTCCTATTAATAATAAACAACAGTAGTGTACCCAGGAGCGAGCCCTCTATTTCATTAATAGCAATATTTAATCTTAAAATAAAATGATGAAAAAAAAATTGAAAATTTGAAATTTCGTTAATTATTTATTATGTCCCCATCCTTCTTCACTATGCAATTCTGGCAACGATAATGATAAATAATGCATCTATCTTAGGCCTCTTGTTTATAGGGTCTGCATTTATCAAATTTATGAATTAAATGTTTTCATAAATTAAAAAAGCCAGAGTTTCATAAATTAATTTGTTGTTCTGTAGATAATTTTCTTAAAACACAAAATTTTAACAAGTCTGAGGAAAAGTGATTACATATTGTAAAATTGTCACGAACTGTATAGATGTAAAATATATTGTGACGGAGAAAATACAGGAGCTGAACAAGTGCAAATAGTTTTTTATCAATGTTCGAAACACGCTGGGGCAGTATGGAACGAGTAGACCGGGCGCCATTTCCAGAATGTTTTATGTGTGCATTTTCTAAAAGATTCTACCCCTTCAACTATACAACCTTTAACTTATGACGATGAGTCTCCTTGGACATTGTACAAGCAGCAGTTTGTGTCTGTAGCGTAAGCCAATCAATGGGACGAGATTACAGAAGCAACAGCACTACACCCAGAGAAAAACCTCGATCTATATAATAAATTCATTGTTCAATTTGATAAATATATCATTACTATTGAATCTATGATATATTAGGGTGGTCCTTAAAATACAAATTTTCAAAATTCGATTTACGCGCACCAAAAAATTATTCTAATACATGTAAAAATAAACTGTGCAAAATTTGGTCCCGATAGGTTGACGTTAACACGTGCCGCAAGAGGGTTGAAAATTCGATCAAAAGGGTAGTTTTTCAGTTATTGTGCTTTATCTCAAAATATATGATTTTTACGTAAAAGTTTATAAGAAAGAAATTATACATATAATTATTTTACATAAAAAAGGTTATTAGCAAAAAACTCATAAGTCAAATATTTACCTCCTAAAAGTCAAAAGTTCCATAAATATTATGTTTACCAGTAAAATTCATATATTTCGGCAATTTAAGTATATACGATGAACCGTTCAAGTTATAAAAAAAATTTTCATGTAAAAGTTATTTGAAATTTAATTTTCTATTAGTTTTGTAGAAAAATAAAATTGTTTTACGAGTTTTCTGGCGAGGTAATAAAGAAAACTTATAAATAACAATCATTTTTCTATCATTTATCATTTTTTGTTTAGATAATGTTGTTGAGTTAAATTTGTTTAGTTCCTCAGAATATGAATTCAAAATAGTCTTGTCTTGCATTGGGATGGAAAACTACTTTCAGGAATTATAAATAGAGCTAAAGTTGATCGATTGCCAATCTTGGTATCATTTGAGGGAGTAAGTCAATTACTTAGGTTCCCAAAAATTGAGAGTGATTCTGGCGAGAATCAGGTAAATGCATTTTTTGATTTAATAAAGTTTGGGATGTAAAAAATAAAATACAGGCCTTGTGTTGTGACACAACAGCTTCTAATACAGGCCGCTTAAATTACGCTTGTATATTGCTTAAACAACTATTAGAGCTTAATGTGTTGTATTTATGATATCGTAGACATATTTTGGAATTAGTACTAAATAATGTTTTCGAGGTTAAACTTAATTTATGTACAACTGGTCCAGATGTATCAATTTTTAAAAATTTAAAGAATGTTTGATTAGTCTAGATTTGTTGAATTTTGATATTGGTATCAATGATATAATTATAAAAAATGCAGTTGAACACTAAAAATAACGTAAAAAAATTTTAATTGGAAACATTAATAATTCAACAATGTAGAAATTACTGCAAATAATTTATGTGTTATTTTTATGGGTGCAACACCCCTTAATGGTGTAAAATTTCACTACCCTAATGTTTTTCATCATGCTAGATGGATGTCTAAAGCAATTTATTCGTTAAAAATATACATGTTCAGAAAACAGCTTAAAATACGAGAAGAACATGCATTTCGTAATATTTGTGTATTTTTGGTAAAAGTTTATGTCAAGGCTTGGTTTAAGGGATCTATTGCCATACAATCAGCATTTAATGATTTATGTTTCTTAAAAGTTTTAATTAATTATCCTGATTCTTTTATATCTAAAGCTGCAACACAGAAATTTACCGGACAGTGTACCGGCAGATATTAAACTAAAAATGGTTGAGGCATCAAGAGAGACATCACAAAAACAAGATAAAAAAAATTACAATAAACCTAAATGATACTAAACTATTTAAAAAAAAAGAACTTAATAGTTTTTTTGGAAACTCATCCTCATAGCTAGGTTGAAAATCCTGATTTTCAAAATGGTTTGAAAGTTTTATCTAATCCTCTTGTGACAAACGATATAGCAGAGAGAGGTGTAAAACGTATGCAAGAATACAATGAAATATTAACTAATGATGATGAACAAAAACAGTTTCTACTACAAGTCGTTAATGATTATAGATCACAATTTGGAGATTGTACTAAAAATTCATTGATGAATAATAACAATTAATAATCCTATCAAAAACAAAATTTTTTTTATATTGTGACTACTAGAAGAATGATTTTTAATATTATTTAATTTTATAATATTTTATGAGCATTAAGATCATTTTTCATATTTTTTTTAGCATTTCATTATTGGTTTACTTATTTTATTTGAGTTTGAAAAAATAAAAAAAAAAATCGTTATTTTTTAAATTATCATAGAAAAATGATTGTTATTTATAAGTTTTCTTTATTACCTCGCCAGAAAACACGTAAAACAATTTTATTTTTCTACAAAACTAATAGAAAATTAAATTTCAAATAACTTTTACATGAAAATTTTTTTTATAACTTGAACGGTTCATCGTATATACTTAAATTGCCGAAATATATGAATTTTACTGGTAAACATAATATTTATGGAACTTTTGACTTTTAGGAGGTAAATATTTGACTTATGAGTTTTTTGCTAATAACCTTTTTTATGTAAAATAATTATATGTATAATTTCTTTCTTATAAACTTTTACGTAAAAATCATATATTTTGAGATAAAGCACAATAACTGAAAAACTACCCTTTTGATCGAATTTTCAACCCTCTTGCGGCACGTGTTAACGTCAACCTATCGGGACCAAATTTTGCACAGTTTATTTTTACATGTATTAGAATAATTTTTTGGTGCGCGTAAATCGAATTTTGAAAATTTGTATTTTAAGGACCACCCTAATGATATATTTATCAATATGATAATTTTTTTTCTTGTCTTGAACAATAATTATTTATAAGAATAGTTATTTTGTTCGTATTAATAAAACATTATCATAAACCCTTGATAAAATTTCTCTATCAAAATTGATTGAGGATTTTCTTTGGGTGTAGTGATGGCTCTTTGTAAACGAACATTAAACTTTCTTGAGACGGTAGTACCACGAGAACAATTTTAATACAACAGCGTTACAAAGGTAATTGGTATAGGACATTTAACACAGGTATACCTAACTCAACTAAATACACGAGTGCAGCGGGAATCCGAAAGCTGCAGGTATTTGAGGTTAAAGTTGTGATTTTGACTTGTTTAGTGTACCCGACAGCCTCAATCTCCTATTTGAATAGGTCTGTACATCACTTCTCTGGGAGTTTTTCCTATTTAACTGGATTGTATAGTTTTTAAATAAAAGTGTAAAATACTGTTTTATTGTTATTTTTTAAAATAAAGTCTTTATATTTTTGTAGTACTCAATAACATATTTCTTTTTCATTCGCTTACCGTAACATCATGAATTAATAAATTATCCTCCTAAAGTTTAATGTGTAGGAGAGATGTATGATCACTATACTATGTATAGTATAACAATTTTAAAAAGTTTCACTCTTTAAAAATGATCGTCGCGTACATAAATAGCGTATTAATCGAAGAAATGCGTAACCTTCACAAAGCTACACTGGCGTTATAGAGCCGTTATATAATAAAATACAACACTATATACATTGCTGTAAGATTTAAAAAACAAAAATTTAAGGGTAACTATAATTCTTACGATAAATAGTTTGCATTACCATAAATGTAGTTAATTTAGAGCTGATAATACGAGACTTATCCGATACGTTTTTGTAGACCTTTATTACATACAATTGATCGGTGTAGAATCTGAAAAACGCATCAACCAATAAAAAAAATATTTTACTAAAAAATTGTATCCAACTATTTTTGTTTTTAAACCATGTAACTCTTTAACTAATGCTCTAATTTTTAACTTTAAGACCTCTATCATTATTATTCTATCAATTCTACAAAAAAAATTAAATAATTCTGTTAAACAATTTTAGGTTCCTCTGATCCTACACCAATGAATCATTCTTCTGCTTCTTTTTCTTCGCCTTAATCCCAACTACTTGGGGTCGGCCACCCTTATCCTAAACTTCCACTTGACACGATCTCCCACATCATCTACGCTCACATCAGCCATCATACACCTACGAATATTTTATAATTTAGTTATTTTTTATCT